AATTATTGTTGCACTTCTGAGCCTAACTTTCAAATTTAAAAAATCTATGAAAAGAAAATTTGAGACAAATTTTTTTTATATATATTAATAGACTCCCCTTTTAAAGCTGAATTGAATGGTGGTAAGTTTTTTAAAAATCCGATGTGTGGATCACATAATATTTCAAAAATTTTAACTTTTGAGTATAGATGATCCGCACTGTACTGCTTGATTAGGGTTTCTATTCAAATTATTTGTTTCTCATTATGAATGAGTATTTGAATTACATTGAAAGTTTATTCAATAAAATGAATAACTAATAATTTGATAATTCAATAATTCAAAACAAAAAGAATGGATGAATAATTCGAATAAGACAAATAAACAAAAATAAATAATTCAATCGATAATTTAAATAAAACAAATTAACAAATAATTCGAATAAAATAATGGTTCTAATATTTCTAATAAAACGAATAAACGAATAATTCGAATAAAACAAATAAATGAATAGTTCGAATAAACGGAATAATTCAAATAAAACAAACAAATGAATAATTCGAGTAAAACGAATAATTCAAACAAAGATGGCTCCTCAATTAATTGCGGCATATGAAAATTGAATTGTGGCTAATTGCAGTTCCCATCTTTAATAAACAAAATAAACGAATAGTTCGAGTAATAATTTTAATAAAATGAATAAACGAATAATTCAAGCAAGACGAATCGAATAAAATGAATAATTCAAACAAAACAATTCGAAATGATAACAATTCGAAATAAAACGAATGATTCGAAATAAACGAATGATTCGAATTAAGATCGAGCTGTGTATTATTATTATGAATAATTCGAATAAAGAATTTGCATTACGAATTTACGAATAGAAATTTTGTTGATATAATAAAAAAAAATGAACAAGATATTCAGGAAATAGATTTTTTCCACAATGATAAAATTCCAATTTTACTCTAATACTAATTATCTGACAAACCGAGACTCGTGGTGTACATAGTCAGATAAAATAATATATTTATTAATCAAATAAAATTTTATAACAATAAAAAGTTAATTCTATACATCAACCGTGTTTATTTAAAAAAAAAATATTCGTTTAGCTGTCAATTATTTTTCCACTATTTATTATTAATACCTACTATTACTACTATACCATTATTATTCGTTATTAATACCACCACTATTGCTATTATACTATTGATAAGTTTTTTTTTAAAAAGGAATGAACTTTTATTCTACCACGAATTTTCCACCCACGAATATGTATTACTAACAAAAAAAAAAATTCCACGGGAAAATGTACGGAAAAAATACTAATACGGAAAATTACTATTTTTCCGTATTATATAGTATTTTTTCCTATTTCGGAATTATTTTTCATAGTAATAGTAATAGGGAAGGCTGGTCAATTGGATTTAAAGAGAAGCATACTTTAAAGAATATATGAACTAATATCTGCATCTGAGCACATCGTAATTAATGAAATAAGCAAACAAGTAATACTTTCAACAATTATTCCAAATGAGCAAAATAAAGCGGATGAATTTATTAAAAATCTTCACCTGTTCCAAGTGAAGAAACTTTATCTAAAAGTTGCAATTAAGTGATATTGAATTTAAGTTATTAAAGAAAATTAAAAAAATCGACTTTGATTCAAATCAACAATCAATATTATAAATCGCGTGATGATTGATAGCCTTTTGGCACAGCCCGAAGGTTCCTTATAGAGCGAGTGGGCTGCACTCACCAAACAGATACCGAATAATCTTAGGATATTAAATATGGTATATTTCAACTTTTGGAGTAGAAATGGCCTTCAAAATTGAATGTTTTTCCTTGGGCATTACAGAATCGATTTCCATTTTTGGTTTGTGCTACCATAAATAATCCATGGTGATTTACCATTATTTGCAATAAAAGAAAGGATTTTTTTAAATCAAAATATCCAAAATTATTATTGAGATTTATATTTATAAAAATAAAATAATAATGTATCCTATATCAAATAGCAATAATAATAGAGTAATTAATGCTGCTCAACACATGCAACAGACGCTTACTCAACAACAACAACTTCGACAACTTCAATCAGTGCAACAATTGCAATCAATTCAACCAACTCAATCAATACAACAATCAGCTCAATCAGCACAACCAATACATTCTGTTCAAGCTCCACCTTATCGAAATCAACAGTATCTTCTACTTCAACAACTTCAACGGCAGCAAATATTTAGACAAAAAATGATGGCGCAATCATATAATAATAATAACAATAACAACAATTTTTTTACTACTATTGCTGCTACATCTAATAATGTTAACAACAATATTTCAAACAATCCAACAAATAAAAATAACAATAGTATTAATAATAATGGCCATAACGATCAACAACAACAACTACCGCCGCCACTACCAACAAGAATATTACGACAACCGCGTGTGGCACCAATAAATTTAAGAGCTTCACAACCTACTCAACCCATTCAATCCGTTGGTTGGCTTGTACCTCAAATACCAACATTCGCGCAATATCAGCCACCACCACCACCAATACCTTTACCACCACAATTATCATCACGCGTTCTGCCACCATTATCATCTACTACTACGAGGATACAGTCACGAGGGCCTAATTCTTTAACACCTGCATCACATGATCAACAACAACAGCAACATCATACTACTACTATACAATTGCCATTACCTTCTGAATTGGAACCACACCAGACAACTCATTCTTGGACAATTCGCGGTTTTCAAGATTTGACTAAATTGATGCACGGTGATGCTTTTATATATAGTGATAGATTCAAATCACCAAGAGGTATAAATGACACAAGTTATTTAAATCAACCACAACAAATTTGGAACCCAGTATCACTTTCCAATGGTATTAACCATGATGGCGGTGACGATGATTGTAATAACGGCAATAATAATGATGATGGTCATACTACTAATAAAAATAATAACAATAATACGAAAAACGAACAAGATTCTGATTATGTATGGAGAATGAAAGTGTATCCAAATAGATATCAGAATGAAGTTTCTTTATTTCTAGAAGCTATTCAAACACCTTTTGAAAAAAAAAATTGTTTTGTGAGAAGGAATAACATTGAATTTCATTTCTCCGTTTATCAATTATTAAAAGATTCTTCTTCCACCTTTTCTTCTTCTAATGATAATAATAACATTGATAACTGCTCTTCTTCCGCTTCTACTTCTTCCTTTTTAACATCACCTTCAGTATTAAAAGATTCTTCAAAAGAGACTCCACGATTGGTTTATGTATCTGATAGATTCAAATGGAATTTTGATTTACAAGGTCAATGCGGTTATTGGGGAATACACTCTATTGGGACATTTCAAGATCTTTTTCAAAACCATGTGAATAATGGTGTTGGTAGTGTTGGTCAGAAAAGAATAAAGATTGAAGAGGATGTCAATATATTTATAAGAGTTCATATTCACACTTATACTAAACCACAACTACAGGACTACTATAGAGATTTTGATGCTAATAGCAGCAATAGTTTTAGTAACGTTAATAGTAACAATAATAATAGTTTTAAATTTAACAATAATAACAACAATAATATTTTTAGTTTTAGCAATGGTGGAGGTGTTGAACAACAACAACAACAATGTTCTACATCATTTGAAAGATTTTTTAATAATGACTCATTTTTTGACGTTGAGTTTATATTCAATGAACAAGATAATTATGATGTTGTTAATAAGAATATTGATTTTATAAGTGATAATTCTAATTCTTGTCCTACATCATCATCTCCATCATCCCCTTCTTCATCTTACACTTCCAGTCCATCTAATATAAGAACAATCAAAGCTCACAAAGTCTTACTTTCGCAACGATCAGAATATTTTGATAGCATGTTCAAAAGTGGTTATAAAGAATCTACGATGAAGAGAATACCAATTAAAAGTACATCATATGAAGTTTTCTATGCAATAATATATTACCTCTACTCGTTAAAACTACCAGATAATATCAACAACAGCGATGACACCAATCATGACAACAATAGCACCAACGACAATAATAACAACAATCATATGTCATTATCATATGAAACATTAAAAGAAATTTATATTAATGCTGATATGATGCGATTAGAACATCTAGCAAAATTGACTTCTGAACGGTTATCATATATGATAAATCATGATACATGGGATCAACTGTTGAAGATTACCTGGCGATCAAATATCGCACCAGCTAGTAGATTACAATTGAAAAAGGTGATTTTGGAGTATGTATATAAGAATTGGTCATTTTTAAAGGCTACTGAGAGTATGAAAAATTTAATTTCTACTTCGTCTATTGAAAATATTGAAGAGTTGATGGAAACTAAAATGTTTGGTGTTTCTAATTAATTGATGGATGAATGTGATGAGATTTATGCGGAAATGAAGATTGAGAATTATATGTGCATATATATATATAATATAATTTATAGTTTTTATAAATAATTTGATTTTATTTTAAAAAAAAGTAAGACTATAAAAAAAAAAAGGATTGTAAAATTTTTTTTTCAATATTTAGTCTATCTATTTACTTGTTTTTTTTAATAAAAATATTTCAAGCCAAGTTTGATAGTCCATCCAATTTTTAAATTAACACTTTTATTTGGTTTGGTTGCGTTTTCTTCTATTACTGTATATGGTGGCGTCACTTGAGCTGTTTTGTTAATTTAGCTTTGTGATTTGGACCTTGGTGATCAACTTGTATTAGGGTATTTTTGAACCCTGAAATTTTTTGATTTTTATCTTTTTTAAAAAAAATGTTTTTTACCTCTTGAACTTTTTTAATCGAGACGTTTAAATATACTGAAGATGATGATTATAAAGAACTATCATTGTTAATAAACAATGTCATGGTATCAACATTCCACAACTATGATGATAATCCGTTTATTTTTGAAGACAACATCAAAGTGTTAATTAATTGTTTATTGCAGAAGACAGAAGTTTCTTTGTGTTGAAGGACATTTGAATTGAAGTTTAAACTATTGGAAAGCAAACGTTACATAACCAACCATGCGAAATTTAATGCAGAATTAAAGTTCTTTATTGTTGCTTTGAAAAAAGATTATTACAATTTATTTAGATCATTCAGACGCTATCAAAAGTCATATATGTCATCAGAAGTGCATTGTTCACAGATTTGAACCTTGTTTTAAAAATCTTTATGAATCAAAACGCTCTCTGTCTCTGATGGATCTGAATTTTTATCAGATTAGCAAATATATTCACAGCTTAAAATATCTTATAGTGATAAATAAATTACGTATGTATATAGTAATAGGAAATATTGCATGTGGTTAGTTGGTTGAAAAACGAAATCAAAATTAAATATGGACAAGAAATAAATGCATTAGATGCAGTCAATAACTTTTTATAAAATTTTGGGCGTATTAATATAGTAAGCAGACAATTTAATTCCGATATTCGAAAAACATTATTATATATTATCTTTGATGAAACATTCCTTTTTTACGGCACGCCATCCAGGACCAAAGGTATCAACAATGTTGCAAAAGATTACAACGCTGCTGTGAACAACAATTACAACATTGCTGTGAATAATTGCAACATCGCTGCAAAGAATTACAACGCTGCTGTTGAATAATTATAACGCTGCTGCAAATATTTTATCACCATGTCAAAACATAACCTGTACTAGATATTCGTATGCATATTAAATAAATAACAATAATTATTTATATATGTTGTTCCTAAAAAAACTTGCAGTATGTATATAAATGTATTCACGAAAAATTATTGGATTGTTGGCACTTAATTAGTAGAAGAAACAATGGAAAACTCTATTTTGAAACCCACAGTGAGCTCTAAAACTGCAAAAGATGTATTTTAAATTTTACTTTGGAATTAAATGACCTTTTGGTATTAATATAACACGTTTGTGTATATAAAAAGGAATAGAACTCTACAACAAGTAAATTTTTTGAGAATAAAACTAGAGAGATCTGCCCCTATCAATAAATTTTTATAGAGTGGTTCTTGAGTTCTATACTTTTAAAGTATAAGATTTAGGAGGTATGAAATTTTTGGATTTGGCATATATCGATTGTATTTATTTTAAATTATATATAAAATTTATGTATTTTAAATAGCAAACTACTAATAAATTAATAAATAAATTAATTTTATTAATACATTAATTTATATTGATTTATACAAAATGTTCTTTTGTTATTAATTACTCGAAAAATGCTTCTCTACAATACAAAACACCCAAAAGTGGGGGGCCAACAAACATACCAAACCAGAAAAATGCATTACCTAACCATTTCCTTTCTTTAACAAATTTCAAATTACCCAACCAAATTAATGGTAATTGGAGCATTTGGAAAAAGAATAAATACATTCTAATTTTTTTTGCTACTACAACCATCACCAATTCATGAATTAGTGAAGATAAGAAAAATGTCATGAAGGTGGCATCACGTTTTGATAATTTGTATGATTCAATGGATTGTTGATAGACATGTCTTAATAAAAAGTGGTGAACTGGTTTGTTCCATTTGCGTGCAAATTCTTCAAATGTCACACTGTTCCACCAGTCATCATAAAAGTTACGATCTGCAAATCTATATAGTTTAAGATTATATATATTATTATTAATATGAAAAACATTCTCCCACACATATATATGAACGAATGAATAAGTGAAATAACGAAATCTTTACCTAGTTAATTCGCCGAATACATTACAAATACATTCAAAAATAATATAAAATAATAATAAATAATTGATCATGAATGGAAACAACATCTTTACAATCATTTCCCAAACAGATGTAGATGATGCATTTGGTAAAACAGGTATGATGTAGGACTGTGTATTTACATAGAGTAAGAAAAATGTTCCAAATGTTGCTAAAAGTTTTTCAAAAACATACCAAGGTCTAATCCTAAATAATAATAATAATGATGAATAAATATATTATTAGTAAAAAAAATTAAATGAATATAAAATATCACATCAGTTATTAACTACGTACTCTTTGGTTCTTGGATATTCCAGTTCATAAACTAAAGTGGGAACTAACAAAAAATCTATAAAATTTGATACAGTGATATTATTTGGATATTGTGTATTTCCCAAAGGACTCTTGAGGTATCCTTCAACTTGACTGATTACTTCTTTTAATTGATGAACTTTTGAATCAATACTTTCATCATTATCATTGCTATCATCATCATCAACTAATACTTCTTTATCATATTTTTTGGAAGATCCAATTAAATTTGAATATTCGTTTTTCAATTCTGATAAATAATTTTTCCAAATTGATAATTCACCATTGTAGAAAGAATATGAGTGTAATTTCATCAACATTGAAATCGTATGAAGTAGGAAAAAACCACTTTGTACCCATGGCCAACCTCTAAAAAATGACCAATAAATGGGCACAAATAAAAATATTGTTTGGAATACGTGTTGAATAATCATTCCAGTATAACGCCATCTAATCCAACCAATAGAAATGAGTTTTTGTAGGATAACCACAAAAAACATTGATCCAACCATAAAAGCATCACTTATCATTAACACTAGGAAATCTTTTGTGAACAATTTGTAAAATGATAAACCTACAAATTGACCAATTGTTTGAAAGTTTTGTATACCAGTATTCATCAAATAGAACGACATTGCAATCCAAAAAAAAGTGAAGACTCCACGAGGTTTAAAATCGTTATTTTCTATTGCTTCACGATCAAGTTGTGAAGTACGCGGTTGGAATGATTTGACACGTTTTGCGATTTTTGTTGGTAGCCTGTTAACCTCATCGTCGCTAACATCACTTGCTGAATGACTTGATAAGGATGATACAGATAACTGTGAGCTTGTCAATCTAAATGCTTGAATGTTATGAGATGAGATTTTTGTTGATGTTATGGTTGTGGTTTTGGCTTTTATTGTTGTGGGTGTGGTTTTTGCTGATAACTTGCTTTCCAGTTTAAATGTGTCCTCGACCTATATATATATTGTATAAAATAATTTAATGATTTAGTTTTCTTTAAAAAAATAAAAAAGATTGTGCGTATATAATTATTAAATACCTGCGTTGAACCCAACATTATTATTATTTTTTGTTATATTTTAGGTTTAATAAAAAAAAGATGTAAGGAGTGAAGCTTATTCTAATAAAAATGATAGATGGATGTTAATGATTATGATATTTGAAGTTGCCAAATATAAATTAAAAAAATAAATTTGCGGTGATTTTTATTGTATGGGGAGTAGTGCGAATATTAAGTTTATAAATATTTTTGGCAAAAAGGAGACGCTCCTAATAAAGTTTAGGAGAGAAGGTTATTTACTTATTTATTAAATTAATTAATATTAAATTAATTTACTGTTAAAGAAAATGAAAGAGAATGTTTATAATAAGATTATTTATTATTAACGAAAGGAAAAAAACAATGAATGTAATAATAATAATAGCGCAATAATGAATTTTGTCTGCAATTGAAATTGCGAAATTGCGAATTACGCCTCTCCAAAACTGGCAATAAAATTGACTTGCATGAAAAGTTTATAAGTTTATACTATATTTTTGTTTCACCACATGAAAATTTTTATAGTGAGTATTTATTTCCTTTATATTGAAAGAAAAAAAGAAAAAGGCTAGGCACTCTTTTATCAGGCAGGGATTCAAATTGATCGGCAGAATTCGAATTCAAAAAAAAAAAAATATATAATTAATTAATGACAACAATTCGTTATAAAATATTTGGCAATCCCTTCTTCATCAGTCGGTTCTTTTCAGAAAGATGCGGGATAACAATTTACTTTGACACGAAACAGACTTGGTTTACAGTCTGTTGATCATGTTATATTAATATTAATATTAATATGTGATGATTTATCAAAAGTGTCGTCCAATCATGCTTCGGACATGTGACCTAGCCTTAATTAAATGTATTAGTGTGAATATCATATCAAAAATCACCAGGTAAAATGTAGATAGTTAAACCAATACAAAACATCTGGAATGTTCAAAAATACACTTTATTATTAATTTCCACTATTTGCTTAAAAGAACATAATGTGTTTGTTGTGAAGTGTAGGAAGCTAGTTTTTAAGTAAGTAATTGCTGATGACTAAAATCACAATTCATCCAAATTAATGTATTTGTATATAGTACAATTCCTTATGATTATTATTATTTAAGAATTTTGATATTTCCTTTCCATAGACCATAAATAGTACCACGTTCAATATGTTCTCTTCTACAAGTGGACTCAAATTGTTTTTTAAAAAAATTATTATTTCATATGTTAAAATGCCAATTATTGACTATATTGCTGTGGCTGAAATCCAGTCACAACTTAAGTCTTGATAGTAAAAATTCTATAGTTAAGAAGTATATAAGATCTTAAAAGTCATCTGATAAAGCTTTAGGAAAAGCATTTGATAAGGTAAAAATCTTGTGACAATAATCCTCTTTAGAAATATCCTGAAATCTAATCAAGGAAATAAGTTCTTTTAATGTGTTGCCTAAATCGATAAAATTTTGTATGGTTCAAGTCATCTATAAATGTCACAGTCTGAAATTTAAAATTTTAGAAGTCTTTCTAATTTAAGTAATCAGGTTTCTTTTATTGAAAGATTTTCTGTATCACGAAGAATTTTTAAGCTGGTCATTAGCCTTTTAGGAAATCATAAGTCCCAATTTACTTATAGACATATATAAAATGGCCTAACTTTGAAGCCTTATAACTCAAAACTTTTCTAATAAAATGAAAAAAGTAAACTGATGGAAATGAAGCTTAGGTCTTTAGTTTTAATTCTATTAGTTTACTTTTTTCTTTTTCTTTTTTAATAAGGAGTTACAAGCTTTTAATGCCATGTAATAATCATTGGCCATTATAGATGTCCTGCACTATAGTGTCCAATTTTCAATGTTATTATTGGCTCCTTGATGTCTTGTTAACCACTGTTCAAGAATACTTTCCCAACTATTTCATCAACAAAAAAATCATTTCTTTCAAGCATTGTCAATAGAATTGATTCTTCTAATGATTCAATTTCTCTTGACTGAAATAAAATTTTCACATAGCCCTCACATTTATTAGTAAAATAATTCATTGTATGATCATAAGTGACTCAAGACCAAATTCATGTGCTGCAATATACAATTTCAATATATCTACTTCAGTATAATTATCTAATTCAATTTTACATGTATATAAAAACCTTTTAAAAGTTAATTAAAAAATATTATTAATATTATATATATTAAAAATATAGTTTAATAATCCCACTTGAGTATATCTTTTAAAATTAGTTCACCAATGGTTGTTATATCAATAATATAATATCAGTTTTCTTTTGATGCATTATTGAAAAATGAACAATAAGTACATATGACAAATGAATGTGCATTAATTTCTTTAATGTTTGTTCTACACCAGCATAAATTTTTACATCACTATTTTTTCCTGTATTAAATAATCTTTCATCAAAATCATGTATTTTTCCGCAAAAATTTCCGCAAATTTGCGCAGCATCATGAAAATATCCAATTTTATTGGTGGGTTGGGTGCATGTTATCCTTATTTAGAAATTGATTTGGAGATTTGCGGATATTTTTGCGGAAAAATACATGATTATTTTTTCATTTGTATTAAAATATCTTCTGATATTTTTTGGTGGAATTAAACATGTGATGATCAAACCTTTATAAGGTTATTACTTATGCGTAACTTAACTTCTTCAAAAAAAAAAAAATTAATACAAATGCTTATAACAACCTTACCAGTGGAACTCTTAATTGAAATATTTAAATACATTGAAGAAGATTACAAGACACTATCTTCTTGTGTTTGTGTTAATAAAAAATGGCACAACATTAATATCCCAACTTTATGGAAAAGCCCAATCTATTCTGTAAGAACTGTTGGAGTATTAATTAATTGCTTACTGGTAGAAAATAAAGATTTCTTTGTGAACAAATACAATCCAGTGTCATCTGAACTATTGGCAAGTCCACCATTATACAATTATGCCAGATTTATAAATGAATTGGATATTCACAAAATTAGAAAAGATATATCAGTTTGTACATACTTTTATTTAGAAGAAGGCTTGGTAAACTTTATTATAGACCATTCAACCATCAGAAAGCTTAAAGTCAATGGATATTTTGCAAATAGTCATTTAGGTCATCATAGATTTGTTGCTTGTTTTCAAAACATTCGTGAATTACATTGTAATAATATTAGTCCTGAATTGTTAGATAAATTAACAATTATATGCAGAAATATTCAAGTTTTAAAAATATATTATGTAAATGGTAATAATCTGAATCATAATCTTGCTCAGCTAATCTCAGCACAAAATCAAATTAAACAATTGATAATTGATAATTCACACAATTATTATATAAAAGTTTCAGATGTTTTAAAAAGGGCAATTTCTATTCATTCAAATTCAATAATCAGTTATGAAAGTCATGGAAATAATACTCTAAATTTTTTACCATCAACCTTTCAAAATTTAAAATCACTATCAGTATTTGATTGTCATGACTACTTGTGTAGAGACAAATTAGATGAATTAAAAAATATTTCACTTCCAAGCCTTGAAGTTTTAAATATGAAAATTGCTGGTCAAGAAATTCTATTTTATTTGAAGACTTTTATTACGCTGAATGGAACCAATCTTAAACATTTGTCAATTAGTGGTAAACCAAATGACAGGGTTAATTTGGGTGAACTTGCTAAATCAATTGGACAACAATGTTTAAATTTGGAATACTTGTCAATATGTTATAGGAATAAAGAAATTGGTCGATTAATTGGAATATTTAATGGTTGTTCTAAATTAAAGCATATTTCATTTTCTAATCTTTATTCAGGTGATTATATATTAAATGGCATTAAAATATTGGCTGTTTTAAATAAATCATTATCAAAAAGTTTGAATACATTAAAATTTGAAGATCAAGTTAATATTATTAGAGATGAATCTTTAAATCAATTGATGAGGGATTGGAGAGGTCCTAGACCATTCAAAATATTTATATTTTGTGACGAAATAGTTTTTTAAAAAAAAAATCAAAGATTTAAGGTTTTTAAAATTATCAATTTTTTATATAAAATATATTATTATTAATAAATTTTTTTTAAGCAAAGATAAAAAATAATAACAATTAAAATTTTTTTTTTTTTGATTTTATAAAATACTGTAAAGGAAAAAAGAACTACACAAAATAAATATATATAAATCATATTTTGAAAAAATTGTCACATTTTAAAATGGCAATAAGAATTCTTTCAGTAATAACAATAATTGAATCCATATGTAATAATGCTTCAATGAAAATATTAAAGATTATTCTTAGCAATATCCAAATAATGAATCAATGTATTATTGTTTTGTTGTTTGTTCTTACATTAGATGATGATTAAAACTGTTGTTGTGGTCTTTGTAATATTTTTGATGGTTTATAAATATTATTATATTATTATTATCATTAATTGGAAAAATTTGTTGTGGTTGTTGCTATTGCTGTTCTAATTCGCGAGTTAATTGTGTCTGCATTAATATTGGATTTTGTGCCTTTACTACAGACAGAATGGTCCAATATAATTAATCCACATTTGAATTCAGTCTAAAATAAAAGATACAAATTTTAATTCTACTTTTTATATAAATTTCAAAATCAACTTTAAGTCAATGAGTCATGTCTAGGACTACCATTACTCTACATTCTTGATTTTTTGTATGCATGATGATGATTTTTTGTAATTCACAACAAGAAATGTTATTCATAAATATTAAAGTGAAATTACAGGATCCCGGATCAAGCTATCCAAAATAATATAGCAGAATATTATTCGTCCAACCATGAGATCCAATCACTTTAATTTAATGTTGTATTTTTATATGATTGCCAGATCTTACAATAAATAAGCAGTCAGTAAACATTCATTAGGACCAGGAAAACTCTATTGAATGTGACCACCAACACTATGATTTGAAAGTACTTTTTAAAAAAATTTTAACTGCCTCACTATAGATTTGATTAATGAAAGTCACTGCCTTTATATAATTCAATGTCCTCAGTTAC